CCCTTTTTTTGTTTAACATCGACAGATCGTTTTAATAAACACGTTTGTTTCTTACGAAACCTTCACTGATTAATATTAGGATCGTTCAAATGGTTAATTTCAATGATAAATCCAAAATTATTTTCAACACCGAGCTTTCAAACAACACTCTCCCTACCCTCTCTACCTGCTTACCTAAAAGTTTCAACTAATTATTATTTGAAATATATATTTCGCACGTTACGAAAAAAGGTGTAAAATATTGTTACACTCATGAGTACTCGGATAACCTAAAAATGTCAATTACCATTGATATTAAGTATCCAAGTGCAATAAAAATGAAATGACTATTCGAATAATAAAGTTAATAATAATTCTGAACAACGATCCACTAGTCAAACAACAGGCACCCCACTTCACTTGTTTCCCCATTATTTCGTTTGATTTTGTCTTCATTTGTTCCCCATCCTCTCGTCCTCAATCTTATTTTTCTTATTAGTATAATATTTAGTTTTTCTTTTTATTCTCGTCTAACAATTTACCCCCTTCACCCACTCGTCTAGGATTTTAGAAAAGAGTATTTTATTACGCGGTAAATGGTCCGCGATCTATCGATTATAGTGAAAGAGAATCGATTGGAGAATAGTGGAGAGAAACGCAGCAGTGTGGTGGATCATAAGCCATCAGATGAACGAGAAAGAGTGAGAGAGAGAGTGAGAGAGTGAGAGTGAGTGAGTGAGGGACCCCTCGCCGATATCAGTAGCCTGTTCTTATCCACTGATCCGCATCTACATTATTAAACTTGATTGGAGGCCAAGGTAATTCCCGCGCGAAAACGACTTGTTGCTTGCTTGGAGAGTTTGCTATCTCTCTCTCTCTCTCTTACTTACTCATTCTCTGTTGCCCTACCGTCCTATAAAAGCCATTATCCAATAGGAAAAAAGGTTCCTCAGGAACGAAAAGATGGATTAGCGTGTCTAGCCAATTCAAGAGATGAGGAGGACCAACAACCACCACCTCATTTACCCCTATCTTTTCTGTTCTTTTCTTACTTTACTTACTCAAAACTGACTTGGTAATATAAAACTTGATTTCTGTCAACCGACAAGTATCCTCCAATTAACAATTAAATAAAAATAAATAACACAACCAAACCCGCGAATAAATAAATAAAACATGAACCGATGAAATGAGGACTGGTGAAGTGGGGTTGGGTTGAGTTGGGTTGGGTTGGGTCTTGATAATCTTACGAGACGAATTTCAAGGGAACACTAAACTTTTATATTCTTCTCCCGATTTAATTAACACTTTGAGAATCCCCGAGTTTGATACCGACATTCCACGTTTCCCCGAACAACCATCCCTTTCTCAACAGAACAGAACAGGACAGGACACATTGTACTGATAACAGGAATTTTCGGATGAAATAAGAGTACAATGTATATGCAGGGACCCGTTTATAAAGTTTGAAATATAGCCAAGAGGTGTCTTTTCGATAGTCTTCAGCAGTGAGAAGGTGGTCAGTGACGTTGATGAGAAAATATCGTGATTTCGCGTGCATATCGAACAGAAATACTGTTCTTGGTTATTGACGACAACGACAACGATGAACACGAGGAAGAAGAGTGCAGGAAAAGTAGGAGGAGGAAGAGGATGACGAAGACGAAGAAGATGGTTCGTTTCGTTTCGAAAGAGAGAAAGTGAGAGGGAGAAGAACATGAAGAAGAAGAAGAAGAAGAACAACAACAAGAACAAGAAGAAAGATAGAACCACGGACCAAGAGCCGCGGGCAAGTTGTATAATATGAGCACGCCGCGCCAGAGTTTCGGCAGGCTATAATCAATTCTGATTGCAGTCCAGCATCGCAGTGCGATCCACTGGCCGATAGCCGAGAAAAAAGTCTGGGGCTTCCAACTACCGGGCTGCACGGTGGTTTAACCGAAGAATCGAAACAGAGAGAAGGAGAGAGAAAGAGAGAAGAAGAAGAACACGAATGCAAGTGATGGTGGTGGTGGTTTTGAAGAGATTGAAGAAAGGGTGGGAGGAATGAAGAAGAAGGGAAGATGTCTTCTAGATGTCTGTTCGCATATGTAGACCCCCACATATACATATTCTTGGTGCAGTATTAATGTTGGTGCAAGAAAAGGAAAATTAAAGAAAGAAAAATAATAGAAATTGGGGATTGAAGATGAGGTAAAGGGTCGGTCGGTTGTGTCCAATGGGGAGGCCCCCATGAAAAAATATTATTTATTAAAATAATTCTATAAGAGTCTTGGAAAACAACTCTTCTCAACTTTGGTGAAAAAGATAAGAGAATGAAAGAGAAATTGAGTAAGTAAGTAAGAGGGGTGTGTGTTGTATAAGTGAGTCTTGTAACTTGGTGTATAGGCAACAGTTGCCCTAGTCCATCGACTGCTTCCACACCAACAGTTAATGCATGGTATATGTTTATTCTTATACATTCAAAGATACACAAACACATGCATATACGGATACATCAATCTATACGTATAGACTATCGCGAGATGCGTACAAGAGAAGCGACGTCGTAGCCGATAAAAACGCAAGCAAGTTATTTATCGGTTGGTCAGCGGCAGCCAGCCTGGCTCTGAACGAACTCATGCGGTCCTTCTTCTTCTTCATTTTCTTCTTCTTCTTCATCATCCCACCCTCTTCCCTTTACCGAACTATCTCTCCTTTTCTTCGTCCCACGTATTATGTATATGTAAAAGTCCCCCACATGTACGTGTATACACAGAGGACACACATGGTTTGGTTAACGCACATGCAACTTTTACAAGCACACATTCCAAAACTCTTATTCTTTTCTTATCTTACCTCAGAAGCTTTATTTTTTTCATTAACATACTATATAATTTAACATTGTTGATTACCACCAAGAAGACCTTGCTACCGATACCCATCAAATACACATCGGGGAACGAACGAAAAGGGGTTGGTGTATCGATCGATCTTTGATCAACCTAAAGAATTTCTGATCGACCACAAACATCCTATCTTTCTTTCTCTCTAATTTTATCTGAGGAACAATTTAACGCGAGAAACTACGGCAACACAACAACAACCTTGATATTCCCTGTCGCAGTAACGGCAACTATATCTCGTACTGATGTTGCTTATACTAACCGTGTGCTTCTTACTATCCCTTATGTTCGCGCGCGTCCGGCCCCATTAGTAGTTGGCTGGAGCCATCATTCAATAATTCTCTCAATGCCTGTGCGACCGTGCTTCCGTGCTCGAAGACAGATGCACTCTCTTCTGTCGATAACTAATTACCATTTTGTTTCCACATCAGGTGTTCGAAATTATTTATCTTTGTCTTTAACTTTAACTTTCTTATTCTTCTTATCTCTATGTTCTACTTTTACGTATATAATACTTTAATTAAAGTACTAATTTTGTATAGAATTAGAAATAACCATCAACGAGTTTTTCTACTTAAAAAGTACTGAAAAGTTATTTCGTTAGAATTATTCTATACGACGAAAGTAATCTCTATTTGTTTTCCTTTTTACGCGTTCATTTTTACCATCCCCCAGTTATTATATCGTCCTATAAAAAGTCTACGGTAAACTGTTATCCTGTCGAAAGAAAAAAGAAAAAGAGAAAGAGAATAAAAAAATAAGGAGCACGCACGCGTACACGTATCATGAAGAACAAAACATATTTTTTAAATGTCGAGTAAACTTTCTCCATAGAATTGTTGAAAGTATGTATATAATATATAACACGTGTATCAGTTAGATCAACGGGATTACCCATACTCAAGCAGCAGGTTTTCCTGGTTTACAATTTATATCTTTTTAGTGTCACAATAATAGTGAAATATATAATGTAGACCGGTTGAAACGTTTTAACTTGTAGTATTTTTATATATATAATAAATTCGTGGTAATAAAAAATAATATTACCTACGTGTTTTCTATTTGAAGGTATGTACGTTCCCGGTCAGTTTATTATTAAATGTCTCTTTCTTTCTTTCTTTCTTTCTTTCTTTCTTTCTCTGTTGGATTAGTCGTTTATGTACGACGTTTACAAGATGCCCCGTTTCTCTACGTCACTGTATTATAATTAACTGCAATAGAAGACACACCGTGCGCTGACCCAGTTGTAATATACGACAACCACCACCTATCTATCGCAAGTGGAATGACCATTGCCGAGTTGCATTGAACGTTTACTGGTGCATTCCTTTAATCAATCTTTCTATAACCCTGAACGTCCTTCAAAATAAACGGGGGGACGGGGAAGTGGAATGGGAGAAGAAGATACGAAACTTTGCGTTGCATAAAATTTTTCCCGGCGGTACGAACCGGGTTATCGGTTTGAATTAACGAATTAAATAAACGACAAATTTCATCACTTTAAAACAGACTCGTGAAACAGTCGACGACATTTCCGGAGATGTGATGAGAAAGAAAAAGAAAACTATACTTTGCGACGAGCCCCCACCCCCATAGAATTTGAGATTGAGTAGACAACGCGCGTTTAAGGAGAACCGTAGGACAGCAACAAGTGTCACTTAAATTACTGACGTATCAAATTTCCTAACATTCCCAATAATTGGATCTATGGAATTCGAATAATTTAAACGTCTGTTCGTTATAAAGTTTTACTTCAAAAACTATCATTATTAATCGTAAACAAGATTTGAAATAATTGTTTATCGATCATCTATACAATTTAATCAATCAATCAATCTCTCTCTCTCTCTTCGATATAATTACAATTACAAAATATATGATGACATGATTTGATTGACATTAAATCCGTGTGATAAGATACGTTAAACATTGAATAGAATGCGGTACTTGTAACACAAGGGGATCGATTTCTTCTCGAGTTCTACGAACGATGATCAATCAAATAGATCATCCCAACTGGTATAAACAAACATTGTCATATAAACGTAGCCCTCCGATAAGAAAACTCGAATAGATCATCAATGTAAAATATCAAAGAGAGAAAGATAGAGATAACGAAAGAACTAACGAACAAACCTGTAGTAGGGGAAGCCCTGGTGAACGTGAAGATCCATGGGCATAGCAGGGTGGGTGGCCCCATGATGATGAGCAGCAGCCGGGGCGTATTCGCCCGGGGCTGGTAAAGGTGGTTGCATCATGCCAGCGGCGGCAGCGGCATGGTGCCCTGCCAGCATGGCACCCCAATGGAAACCCGGAGCACCTGGCATTGCCGACGGGTGATGATGATGATGATTGTGATGATGATGATGATGATGATGATGATGACCACTTGGATGACGATGATGTTCCAAAATACGTTCCTCCGGTGTTACTGTAGTTCCTCCCGTCGTATCCCCGCTATGAGGATTTCCAGAAGCAACAACGGCAGCAGATACAACAGCGGCAGCAGAAACAGAAGCAGAAGCAGAAGTAGCAGCACTTCCGGATCCTGCAGCAGCAGCAGCAGCACCGCTTCCGGTGACGCCGCCGCCGCAGCCACGGTGCATCAGCCAGGCCTCCACCACGAACTTCGTGCCTCCTCCTCCACCTCCACCTCCACCACCTCCAACACTTATTCTTATTCTTCTTATTATTTGACTTTTTCTTTTCGTTCAACTATCCTCCGCGTCGAAATCACCAGGAAAAAACCCCTGTTAAATTCTAACCCCACTTGTTCTCCCACCCTTCTTCTTGTCGCCCAATCTCCCTCACCCGCCCACTCCCACCTCCACTCTCTCTTTCTCTCTCTACTTCGATCTATATTTCGATCTATATTTCGTAGCACTGAAGTCGAGTAGCTTTCTACTCGACCCTGGTATCACCCTGATGATAACCCACAGCGATCGATCGATCCGTTGATCGATCGATCGCCCTATCACTCACCATAACCTGTTTCATACTTATTTTAACAATAATAATAACAACAACAACATGTCCTCACTGATAACAACATATACAACGAAAAACACTTTATTCATTAAATTAGTAACGATTCGTTGATAGCACTAAAATATATCTCAGGGTCAACCCGAAGTTGTGCAGTTGTTCACCGATTATTCAAAAAACAAATCCACGATAAAAACTGATGATTTATTAATAACGAGAGAAAAAAAAAAGAAACACACTGATTAACAAACACACAATTGGATAGAAAAAGATGAAAAAGGTGGAGGTAGGCTAGCAAAACAATACAAAACAAAACAAACAAAAAGAAGAGTAAAGAAATGTTGAGAAGGAAAGGTTATGGGAAAAGATTTGACGAGGAGTCTTAAAACACGTAGAATCTCCTCTCGCGAGAGAGCCGCTGTTGCAGCCGGACGGAAACGGCGGAGAGTGTGCTGGCGTTGCCTTCAGCTCGGCCATGAATGACGCGCCGTACTTGGAGCTACACCATGAAGGCGGAGCTTCCTACCGACCACGTGACACCTTCCGCCTCCTCCGCCCCCACCATACTCGACAACTCCACCACCGACGAGGACACCACCACCACCACCACCAACCACCACCAACCACCACCACCACCACCAACCACCTACACCACCATCATCATCACCACCCACCCTTCTTCTTCTTCTTCTTTTTCTTTTTTGTCTTCTTCAAGTCACCACCACCACCACCACCCTTCACCCTTTGCACCACCTTTCTACCCTTCGATCGTCCACTACTCGCTAAACTCCTCTACACGTGGTGATGTTCATCAGATTAATCTTTTCCTGATCTTTTATTATGCAATTTTTATCCCTTAAGATTGATATGGTTAATCATTATGTACTTAATATTATGACATTAATGAATGTAACAATAATTGGTTATTATGTGTGATTATTATATTTGTTTCAAATGTACATTTGTTAATGTACATAACGTCATGATATTTGATTAATTTCTGATGGGGTTGTCAACGATAACATTTGAATAATTGGTTAAATCGTTTATTCACTTTCGCGAATTATTAATATATTTGTTTTTGTTCATTGTAATCTTATGGATCTGAAGATTATTCATAAGATTAATCTTTTTCTGATCTTTTATTATGCAATTTGAATCCCTTAAGATTGACATGAATAATCATCGAAACAAATGTACATTTGTTAATGGTATATAACATCATGACATTTAAATGATTATTACATTAATTTTATGAATCTGACAAATCTTATGATAAGGTATATATGAAAATGATCGAATATAATTTGATCCAAATGATCCCCCGAAATAAATGATGTTCGAATCAAGTCACGGTTGCATAAAAATTGAGTTCTTTAGTTTCTTGCCAATCCTAGCTAAATTCGGTAAATAAAGTACAGAAAAAGAGGTTGGGAAAAAAAGCAAAAAAAAAAGAAAAAAGAAAAGGAGGTGGCCATTGACGAGACAGACACGTAATCCAAACGATTCCTTTCTTATCCCGCAAAAGATTCGGTCCAAAGGAAAAGGGACTATAAAACTTACGAAGCGCGATCGTTAAATCAGCAGGTTGTGCACGCCTTAGAAGGAGCAATAAAAAATTTAATCAAAATGCCCTCTTGGTAATTTACAGTTCTCAGCCCTTCTCTCTCTCTTTCTTTTTCTGTCTTCTTCTCAACCCTTTCGTCTTCGTACGAAGGTAGAAGTAAACCAAGCAAGGGTAGTGACGATACTGCTGCTGCTACTGCTGGTGATGATGGTGGTGGTGCTGATGGTGGTGGTGGAAAAATAAGCGAAGCAAAGGACAAAGAATTGGTGGAAAAAAAAGGGAAAGGGTTAAAAGAACCCCACAGGAGTCATAGAACCGAGTTGGTTGGTTGGTTGAGGGCAAGCAAGCAAGCAAGCACGTAAAGGAAAGAAAAAAATAATACATCTTGTCTCAGCTCATTTGCTGGCGTTAACGTTTACTCGCATATTATAACCCTTCCCCCCCCCTCTCCGCCACCCCTCCTCCCTCCTAACGTTCCACCACTTTACTCTCGTAAATTACAAATTAGTGCATGAACAAGGAACGAGTCAAACTCGTTTGCGCACTCTTTACAAAACGTACTTCGTGATCCACCCTCGACACACACTTCAATCGTTAATTTTCTATTAAAAGAACAACAAAAAAAAGTAACAATCATTAACACATTCAAAATGAATCCCCACAAAATCTGATTTAAATTAATCTCCTCGTGCTAATCAGAATTTCGTTAAATTCATTTGATTTACATTTTAACGAAAGTTAACAATAATTTGACTAACTTAATATTAAAAAACAATAGATTTGTAAATCGTTTAATAAGAATTGGAGAAGAAAATAGGATATAATGTAAAAATAGAAAATAAATGTTTTAACCTATCGGAATGACAAAAACATTGAAAATAATAATAATAATAATAATAATATGAGAGAATGATATGCGAAATGATTATGCGGGAAATCTATGGCGCGTAGTAATGGTAATAATAATTTATTTAGCGGTTCCGCTTGGAAATATAAGGGGAAGAAGCATTGGCGCAACCTACCTGTAGGTACAGGTGTGAGTCGTAATGATATAGCGGGCTTGCCCTTTAACCTCAAACGTATCCGATGGTTCGTATCGACTTCAGTAAAGCCGCCAAGATCGGACTTGGGAACATCGCAATCATCGTACCGCTATATCAATCGTCAGTGAATTATTATCGAAGAAGATGCACTTGCACGATTACGTTTCTCTATCTCTTTCTCTCTCTCTAGTTTCCATTTTCTTCTTCATTCGACTAAGCACTTTCAATGACTAACTAATTTTAATACTAAACGTACCGCAACTCTTCTTCTTCTTCTTCTTCTTCTTCTTCTTCTATCTCACATGACTGATTTTATTTCATTTTCTAAGTAGAATTATTTTCTATTCTTTCTATTATTGTTTATTATTATTTAATTTATTTTTATATCTTTATTTTAATGATCGTTTTAATTTCATTAATATTACGATAATATTATATCAAAATATTGTGCAATGATTTAATAATAATTAATTAATTATATATATATTATTTATATAAATTAATTAAATATATGCATTTATATTATTAATATATGAAATAATAATAATTAATTAATTAACTTTGTATACAACATTTGGTTAAACTTATTTCAGAAATATTTTCGTAAGTTAATCTCTAATTTCACAATTATAGTAATTAATAAATTTATTGTATTTTTTTTTAAAGAATTGTCTAATGTTTTATCAACTTTTGTCATTGAAAATTGTTTTAATTAATATTACTTGAAGAAACGTTCACAATTATTTGTTTTTCGATTTCTTCTATTTTCTTTTTTCATGAAATTTTTCTTTTTCATTGGAATTGGATGGAAATACAATGGATAGAATTGTTTTGATTGGATCCGGGTTTTCCTTGTTTAAAAAAAAAAAATCCTCCTGGATAAAGAATTTGTAAATTTTTATTTTTATTTCAAGTGTGCCGAGAGAAATACAAATACACAATGTGTTTCGTAAATGCGAATAATATATGTCTCTCTCACTCGGCACTAATTTTTTTTCTTTTACAATTCAAATATTATTTCAAGATAGAGTGTATATCACTAGAAAAAGTGCTAAATTCGATGTTCATTCATTTCTATGTGGACTGTGCAATGAAAAATCATTCGTATGCGAAAACGAAATAACCAAATTAATCATCGAAACTTGCAACTATCTTTTTTTTTCTTTCATCCATTCGAATAAATCGAATTCATTTACTAAAAAAAAAAAACGAAATAATTAATAATTATTTTTCAATTTGTTTCATTAAGCACACACAAGTACATTTTCCATTACCAAATCACACAGGTACAAATAAAACCAAGCTTCTTATAGTACACTGAAAATGATCAGTATAAAAGTGTTTTATTTTTTTTTTCTTATTTTTTTATTTATATATATATATTTTTTTTTTATCTCGTGTAAGAACAATCCTACTAGTCGGTCAGCCAGAGTTTATTCATTGTTTGATTGTTTCTATGCTCACTTTTTTTTTTATTCGTATACTCTTGAAATCTTAAAAAACAAATTTATTTTATTTTAGATTTTTCTTTTTTTCGAATAAATTTCCATTACAGCAAACCAACGAATCGAATTATTCGACACGACATACACATGTTTGATCTTGAAAATATGTAACTCTAATGTAATTCTAAAAAAAAAAAAACACCCGTCCTTTTCAAGTCGTAGAAAAAAAAAAAAACAATCATTAAGTATGATTTCTCAGTAAAAACAAAACTAAGAAGACCGTGTGGGGTGGTTTTTGTCTACAGGTTTTTCCTAATTGAAAATAAAAAAGAAAGAAAATATTTAAAAAAATTGGACAATTACAGCAAGGACAGAAAAAGTTAAATTTCTAAAAAAACGGATGGTATAAATCGTAATTAAAACAAAAAAAAAAAATGGTAATATAATAATAATAAAAAGCACAAAAACTTGTAGACACCTACGCACAGTCGAAATATTTTTATTCCCCTTTATTCTCTTACTTTGCGTTTTTATTTTTTCATAATAATAATTATATTCTCCTTTTTTTTTATTTGTTTGTTTGTTTGTCCTTTTTTAGGGAAGAAAATTTGTATGCGTGAAAACACGATTACGATCGTTACATTTACATTCGTCGTCGATCGTACAATCGTGGGATTTCGTTTAAAAATTTTTAAACGAAAAAATGTGAGTGTCCTTTTACTCTAAAAAAAAAAAATAAAATAAAAATTAAAAAAAAACCAAAAATTAAAACGAAAAAATGCATCGTCTTGAATGCAAGCGAAGAGAGAGATACTGCGTTATTATCATTAAAAGTACAATAATAGTAATAATAATAATAATAATTATAATAATAATAATATAGTAATAATAATAGTATTATTATTATTTTGATTTCTCAGGTACTTTATACATGTATCATGAATGTTAATAAATGAGAAGTAAAAAGCGCATTTTTTAAGAGGATAATATTTCTCTTCTTTTTTTTTTGTTTTCTTTTTTTTTTTCCATTATAATTATTATGATTTTTTTTTTTGTTTTTTCTTTTGTTTCATAATATCTACCCTTACTTCTCCGTAAATATACGGATCGGTTGAAAAGTTTTGAGCCTGACATAAAAACCACAAGGAAGGTTTTCAAACTAACTCACTTTAATTTTCTTTTCTTTTCTTTTTTATTTTTCAAATAAAAGATTTTTGTTTTATATTCGTCGAGACTCGATAATACTTTTCAACCCACCTTCGTACATTCCGCTTATTTTATTATCGATGAAATGGAAAATGAGAGAAAATCGATGAAAACGAAAAAAAAAAAGGATGACAGACGAAAACAAAAAAGCTCTTCCTGGGATTTAAATTAAAACACACAAAACGCAAAAAAAATGAAAATATGAAAAATAAAAAATAAACATTCGAATAGAATGTAAAAAAAATATAATCGAACGATTTCCAATGAAATAGAAAAAAAAAAAAAAAATGCAATCCTTGTTTTGACAATCGATCATTAATTACCTTTAAAAAACAACAATTTGTTTATTCCCTTTAAATTTTCGTACATTCAACGTTTCTCTCTCTCTCTCTCTCTCTCTCAATTTCTTTTTTTTTCTTCCTTTTATTTATTTCTTTTTGTTTTTTTTTTTGTAATTTTTCTCGTTTGTTCATACACTTCGTCGTTTTAATAATCCCATCCCCCGTCCCCCTATCCTAGAAGAAGGAGAACAACAAGAAGGATAATGAATAAAAAAAAAAAAAAAAAACTCCTTCCCAACTCTCGTTTCGTAGTACAAGTATTATTTGAAATCATAAATGTACAAGAGCCACGAGATCTATATAGATCCATCGTCATAGATCATCGATTTGTTCGTTTAATAACGAACACAAATTCGTCAATTATTAATCCCTCGAAAACGTTCCCTTAACCCCCTTTCTCTTATGGGGGTTGGTTGGGTATAGTTTCGTTCGTTCGTTCATTCATTCATTGATTGATGTAAAATCATGTTTATCTTTCTTTCTTTCTTTGTTTCTTACTTACTTCTTCTTATTTCATTTCTTCTTTTAAAGACACCAAACATCGTGTGTGTGTACTCGATTAAAATGATCGATGTAATCGACACGAATGATTTGTTCTTATGGGGAAAACAAAAAAAATTAATTAAAAAAAAATGCATTGCTAGCTATATGCAGTCGTTAAAACGATGTTTTGTTTTTTAACGCTTACGTATTTGTTTGTAATAATAAAACACATGTTTAAGAAGAGTGTAGGGGGTGCTAATATGCACCAACCACCACAAGTCGATTATTCATTTAAGTATAGTCGCAGCAACAGGTCGTTTCTCTATTTAGAGATTAATTAATTCATTAATTAAATGTGAATTAATTAATTATATTCGTCGCAGGAGCGTTTGAATTAGCAAACATTTTTATTTGCCAACCACCACCACCACGCCGTGGTTGTTTCTTTTCACCCCCATTCACCTTTTTCTTTTTATCATCATTATCATCATCATCATTATCATCATCATTATCATTATCATCATCATCTTCTTCTTCTTTTTTATTTTTATGGTTTTTTTTTTATATTTTTTTTAATTTTATTTTGTTTAAATACACAAAACACACACACTCATATGTATATTAAGTATATACGCTTACACGGTAAGCAAGGCATACGTATACGTAATACGTTTGTTGTTATTATTATTATTATTATAATTTAAATCATGTGTAATCAACGTTTGAATGACGTTGGTTTGTTTTTCGTGTTTCGTTCGTTCGTTAGAGAAATGAAAGATCATTTTATTTGAATATTTAGTTTCGTCGTGTTGTATCGTTTAAAGAGAAAAAAAAAACATTTAAAAAAAAAAAAAAAAATTAAATAAAAGACACGATCGATGATTGGATGACAATCCTTCTATTCCTTACGTGTGGTACGAAATAAAAATAGGAAAAACAAAAAATACAGGGCGAGTCAGAATTATTCGGAACACATACACGCACACGTACACGTAACTTCATTTAAAAGTATGAAAATGATTTCGAAACACTCATCACGTGTAAACGCGCGTATTTTAGGTCACCGTTATTTTTCTTTAAATGCAATTGCAATTTTTCTTTTCTTCTTCTTTTTTTTTTGCTCTCTTCTCGATACTTAGATACGAGTAACAACAATTCAACTCACCCTGTATAAAAAAGCTCGTTTGTGTGTGCACGAAGCGATGATGACACGTTCGTTCGGTAGTCTCCCCATTTTGTTTTACGTCTTTGACGAATCTTTCTTTTTCTTAATTTGTTTATTTGTTTTTTGCGTATTTTAAAAAACACGCGAATTCAACCGATTTTTCGGTTACGTACTTTCACTGTTTAAAAAAACACAGCAAAATTGTTCTATATATTTATTTAATTATTTATTTATTTATTTTCTTCCCTTTTCTCTTCTACTTCTTCTTCTTCTTCTTCTTCTTCTTATAACAAATTTGTGAATTCGATCACTGCATAAAAAGAAAAAAAAAAGTACGAAAATTAATTCAGGATGCACTATTGTGCATCCATCTAAAAAAAAATAAAAAAAAAACAAATTAATATAGATCCTCGTTATCGGTTGCTCTAATCAATCATCCTAAAATCTTGTATAATAATTTTTTACATCCAAATAAAAGGTTTGTTTTTCTCTTTTATTTTAATAGACAATCTTCTTTTTCAATTGCAATTCTTTTTCTACTGCTTCTTCCTTTTTTCTTCTTCGATAGCAGTGAAAGTAATCTTAAAAAAAAAACATAAAAAAGAGAACAAAAAAAGAAACAAAAAAAAAGAACAATCCAATCATTTTCAGATCACGTTGTTCCTCATTTTATACGTCGCATTAGATCTTATTGTTACAATAAAATAAAAAAAAAACACAAAAACAAAAATTGACGAAGGAATTCACGATACTAACGAGTTCCTACAATTAATTAGCGTTCGGAAATTTTTGGCACTCATCGTTTTCCGACCTAATTCGAATTTTAAGGGGGATGAAAACACCCTTCTTCTTCTTCTTCTATGGCTAGGAACGAAAATTGTATTTAAACAAAAAAAATAAAAATAAAAAATAAATGAGAAAAACGTGATGAAAGTTTTTCGTGTGCGCGATGATAACGAAAAATAAAAATGGCGACGGGAGGAGATCATCCGTTCTCTTCTAACACAACCTACACGTACAAATACGTATATATGTTATACATACACACACAACACCTACCACCCCTAATAACCTATGGTTCGGTGTAAATCTAGACGGTAATTAACAAACGAACAAAAAATAAAAATAAAAATTACCGATCGGGAGAACGACTTATTCCCGTTATCTTCAATTAAACTCACATCATCATCATCTATCTTTTTATCTTTCTATCTTTCTATCTTTCTATCTCCATTCTCAATATCTGATTCTTCCTTCAAATGTTTTTTTATTATCAAAAAGAATCAGTCTACTTTCCAATTCTGTAACTGTTTCCGTATCACGTGACACAGTGTAAAAGAAGGAACAAAATCGGTTTAACTACCATACTTTCTTTTTCCCCTTTCTAAAACTTCTTTCCTTCTATTCTATTCTTTTCTTTTCTTTCCTTTTCTTTATCTTTTTAGTCTCCTTCTTCTTCTACTTCGTGAACTTCCTCTTTCATCAACACAGAGGACGAATATAACCTCTTCTACGTCTTTTTTTATTCTTCAAATCTTTGTTTCCATTATAAGGACAAGATTTTAATCTGTAAATACTCCATACAATACTGGTCAGTCGAAATCGAACATTATAATATTCGATTAGTCATCTTCCCATATTGTTAATTCTTTTAATCGTTCGATTAAAAAGAAATCCTCGCCATTAAAATTCGGAGGTTATGTTACTAGGCCGCCATTTTGGTTCGCCATTTGTCTATCAATAAATATATATATATATATATAGATATATATATTTATATTTATATTTATATATTTCTTCTTCTTCTAACAATAAAAAATAAACAATTGTTAATGAAATTCTATCATTTAAATATACCCGGTCTGTAATAATTCAATCGATCATTATGATCATTTTAATCATTTTGCTAACTTCATTAGTCTTATTCTCATTGGCGATTTTAAATCCGCCATATTGTTTTTCAAATGACCGGTCGTCTGTAAAAAATATTCTTCCTCGTATTCATCCCCGAATACATTTCGCGTAACATTTACACACACGCGCATATATATGCGCGCGTGTGTATATATTTTTTTATATATATATAAATATATACATTGTATATCAATCATATCAAATTAATATTTTCGTGAGAAAATGTTTAACGATTTATAATCGTTCTTATATAAACTATACTTACTAATTCTAATATACACATTGAAAAAAAAAAAAAAAAAAAGAAAAAAAAATACACATGTGGTGCTCGATCGTCGTAACTCGAAAGAATTTTATTTGAACGAATAAAAAAAAAAATAAAATTTGTAAATCATTTGTTCGTTTTTTGTAACAAATACAACCCTTCTTTTCCAGTTGTCATCTGCTTCGCGTAATTTTAATTTAATTTGAGCGTAATGAAAATATTCCGAACGATTGGCAGTGAAAAGACAAACACACACGGTACAAATGAAACAACGGACATATATAAAATGCATATATATTAACAAAACAAAAAATAAATAGCGAAGAGAGTACGTGCGTAAACTAGAAAAGAAAATAATCATCAGCTGTCGATAGAGTTACGAACGATTGAGGGGGCAGGCAGTGTCATCGAGCAAACATCATGTGACTCGTAGAAAAATGCATAAACATACATACATACATCCATACATCCTACACGCATACATACGCGATCAAACGTAAACATAATAATCTGTGCAGTAACGGAATCTGCCGAATAATCGAAATGGGCAGGAACCATTTTTTTGTTTTTTTTTTTTTATTTACACTGGTGGGGGTCCTCTGACGTAACGAAGCTGCGGTGTCAATGAAAGATTGAGGGTGTTAGCAGCTTCGCAGCAATGTGGTTCGAGAAGACAAGCGGCACAGAATAAAGCGACTAGAGCCAACTGAAAGGGCAAGGCAGCCCTCAGTATACGCCATATCCAACTGTGAGGTATGTCCGGTTCATTTTCCGGATCACCAATGTCCTCGGATTTGGTCCTACATCCACCAGCTCCGATAACACCACCACCACCACCACCACCACCACTGCTACTACCACAACCACCAATGTGATGATGATGATGATGATAAGCGGATTCCATTTCTGATTGATCTTTAATCGAATCATCGTCATCTTCCTCGTCGTCAATGTTCTTCTCACCGTTAGCGGATGATGCCTTTTTCCGTTTGCTATGAATAGAGAAACAAACAAAGAAACAAAAAAAGAATGATAATGACAAACTGAAACTTCATTTTTTACTGATCTCGTATAGAGTGAGAGTATTTTATTTTTTTTTTTCTTTTTGGTCTGGAGATCTGAACACACTTTCGAATCTTACAAAGGAAACCTTTTTATCACTTTTTTTACGAGCCTTACACGACGTGCCAAATGTCTTTTGCACCTACTTCAAATGAACCTATTTTCTTACTCCGATTAAACGAGACTATAAAAAGGGAACAAGGAAAAACGAATAGGTAAGTATAAGTGTGATATTACTACTACTACTACTACTTACACAAGTAACAAACTTTTAATAAGACAACGAAGAGAACAAAAAAACAACAAGTCAAGGATAATAAATTCTGTTACCAGGATTGTTCTTGGATCCTTTTCATGGAGTTTTAACTAAGTTGGACAGATGATCGTTTGGATAAGGACAATCTTGTTTCATCTGGATGGATTCTATTAACACTGGGGGTTGGGGGGGGATTGGTATTAGGTGTGCATTATTTGACAACCCTTTCGTTACTAACAACACCACGTACGAGTCCTACATACAAAAACCCTTACTAACCGGGTTGTTTTCAAACTATTCAGAGAATAACAGAGGAAGGGGGGTTTGTTTCGTGTTAATGTGTATCATAACGAAAGGATTGATGATTGAAATTTTCTGAACACTTACTCGTTACGATAATGATGTTGTTGACCAACCACCATCATCCTTTTAACGGTACGACTTTCAACGCTGGCTGCAGTACGAACGATCAATTCGCGACACTGTTTTTGCAGATCGCGTAACTCGCGTTCAGCGTCCTCGACCCTTTTCCAAAGTTCGGCCAATGCTTCGCTACCTGGATCCAATTGATTTTCCAAGCTACGTGTTAAACGGCGAAGCGCAGCCAATCTTCTTTCCCGTTCGCTAAGTTCCTGTTCGCTACCACTATCGGATATTCCACTGTCCGATAATGAACCACCTTCTTGACTCAACAGAGTAGTTGATTGTTGATCAGTGAACTTTGCCAATGGACAACCGGTTACTTCAACGATCGTAGCATCGTTCATTATCACAGTATCATTCTGAAAATCAACAAGAAAAATATTGTTTTCCTTAAAAATGTGTAACTAATCGGGATCGTTTAAGTGTTGTACATCTTTTTAAAGGTATCGCATAATCCTCGAATCAAATAACTGAACAACGGATCAAGACTTAACGAAGTGTAGAGATGTATAGTGTTTTGAATATTATCAAAAAAAAATGTATGTCTGCTTAAATAAAAAAAAGACGCTGAACTTTAGAGATTAAGTTGCTGAAGAAGTCCCAATAAAGGGACGAAACGTCCAACGTTATCAAAACGAAGTTCTATTTCTTTTGATATGTCCAAATTCCCTAAGATACCTTTTTATATAACTTTTTATAATAACTGAACAAAAGTTTGTTCAGTTGTACCTAAATATTTTCTACTGATATTTTTTAAACGATATAATTAATAATAATATCATATTTAATTGCAAACGAAACAAACAAATTCATATCCTTCGAACATTTGTTCATAGGAAAACAAGCAAGCAAGCAAGTAAACACACACTCTCTCTTCTCAGCGATAGTAAAACATTTAGGGGTGGTGGGGGAGGGTGGGGGGAGAACAAAAAGAAATTGCGATAATTCGTTCACGACTTCCAAGTCGACGAATTAATCCAGGAAATTGTTCGTTCGCGTTCTCAAACGTTGAAATCCAAAAATACAAATGAGAACGAAGTGGAGACACGAACGAATGGTGGGGGCGGGTGGTGGTGGAAAAAGATGGGGAGGAAGGGTGATACTGAAAGAGAGAGAGTGAGACAGGGGGAGTAAGAGAGATGGGAGAAAGAGGGTGGGGGGTAGGGAGGAAGAGAGAGGAGGTAGATTTAGGCTGTTTGCAGCAGCAGAGACGGAGGGAACGAGCCTCCGGTAATGAAAAGCGCGATCCGCATACCAAGTAGCAAACTCCGAGCTAACCTATATATGTATATACGCACATACAACACACTTAAACCCATACATTCAGAATACATACATACATACACATATATATATATATGACAAATACTACATATAAAAGTCAAGAGATGCAGGGATCATTTCCAGTTATGTCTCAAAGACACGCGGAAGGGCTGAGAGACAAAACAAGAAGGAACAAAAAAAAAAAAAAGAAAAAAAACCAGGAAGAAGACAGAACGGAACTGCTGGACACACACACCCGACGACGACTACAACAACGTGTCCAGTTCTCACTGATGTTTCCATCTTCTTCTTTCCTGTCCTTGACCGAGGACGCAGTAAAAGAAACAGAAAAAAAAAAAGTAAAACCGTAAAGGTAAAAAGAAGAATAAAGGATGATGCTTTTCGCAACAGGGACGACCCAGTACAACCAACCAACCAACAGGGATGGTAAAAGAGAAAGAGAGAGAGAGAGAAAGAGAATGTTCCGGGGCGCCTTCCGCGGACGTTATTAAATTTGTATTTTTACGCTGATTCCACGGACCACTCCGGTACGTGATGCGAAAGAGAATCGTTCGGGCGATTAACGATCCAAGCTCCCCTGGGGTGCGGGTTCCTCCTCTGAGATGGCCGACGCAACCAACCCACCCACCCCCGTGTTACTCTGGCCAGACCCTGGACACCATCGAAGGATCAACATTCGAAAAAGTTCTTTTCCTTTAGCTAAGGTGTAGTATCTTCTGCTAAAGAAAACTCTTCTTGCTACTGTAACACACATGCGCAAACCATCACCACCACCCACCCCCTGAACCTCCCCCGAACCGACTGACTTGATCTTTTATTTAACGCCTATCAAAATTTATATCCGCGTTTCCGCGGAGAGAAAAGGTAGCAGCGAAACACAACTTGTTTTTTCTTTTTTTCTTCTTTGTATCGTTCCCTTTTTTTTCTTTTTTACCTTTAGCTGCTCGTTGCTACTCCTGCTACTCCCTCTTTCTTTTTTTTTTCACATCAGTGCTTGAAAGAAAGAAAGAATGAGAAAGAGGGAAATAAGAGAAAAAGATGTAATGCCGAGCGAGTGCATGAAATTATCCCCTCGAGTACAGTAGGATCGGTGAAAGTAGAAACTCTGTTGGAACGTATTCCATCTTGACTTGAGTTTGAATACGTTAAAAGTATGCTCTCCGGTTGTTACTACCTAGCCCCTTCACTTCACCTCACCACCAACCAAATGGGTGTAAAAGTATTCGTGTAATAGTTGATAGTAGTAGTAGTAGTAGTAGTAACAGTAACACAACAGCGACACTAGGAAAGAGGGTAGAAGGATCGAGGAGGGTGTATTGTGTCGCGAGTCGTACGTCTTCCTGACAGACGAAATGAGCACCGGGACAATTGGAAATCGTCGGACCAGACGTGCCGTGTGCTACTACTACTACTACTACTACCTTCTTCTTCTTCTTTCATCCCTCTACTTTTTTTTAGTGCCCTTTTTCTTTCTTTCTTTCATTTCTTTCTCCTCTTACCTACACAACAACTCTAACACCACCACTACCACTTAACAGAGTAACGCAAGTAACACCGTTTATACATTTTTATCCCTTTGAGTGCTGAATACTTTTAACTGAAGTGATTTCTGATTATTAATGTGTATTAATTCAATAATTACAATTAATGTTTTCCTAACAATATTATTTTCATCTGATAAAATACAACAACAACAATATTACATTATTTTAAATTCACATTGATAAACACACGTATCAACTTAACATTCAAAGGGTTAAGTGATAAACGTAACACACCTGACGAGTGGGAAAAATTTGGATCTGGTTCTTTGATGTGTGACCTACATTAGTAAGATTTTCATTATAAATTTAAAGGGTTTGGCCCCTACTCCTATGGGGTTAAAGAAGAAAGCACGGCACGGGTGGGGGTGGGTATCTTGGGCAGTACATCTTCTTGACAAGGCATAAGGAAAGAAGGAAGGAAAGTGAGAGGGCTTACTTTATATGCAAATACAAGACGGATATGGTTGGAATAGAAGAAGAAGGGGATAGAGAAGGGGTGAGAATCTTGGGGAGAGGAGGGTGTTCGAGACGGCGTTTAACCGAGACACGATATCGACAAGTGTCATGCGTCAAAGGAACCCCAAAACCCCCTTTTTTAAGCATCCTCATTCCTTATTCCTCTTTAGGAGTCAAGCATGACCCTTGAATCTTGCGACCCCAGCGACTGAGGAGAAGGTGGTTCAACCCCCCGAATTTTAGGGAAGAGAAATAAAAATGAAACGGTTAGAACATTTGATAATCATACGAATATATCGTGAATCGTATTTGATTCTTACTTTACTTTACTTTGCTTGCTTTACTTTGCTTGTTTGTTTGTTTGTTTGTTTGTTTGCTTACCTGAGAATGAACTACTTCTTGTTTCTCCGACAAAAGGCGTGCCACGTGACGTACGGAAGATGCAACTTCCGAAGTAGCACCAGCTTGCAATGCAACATCCAATACTGCTAATGTATCCTTGTCTCTGCGCAAATCACACTGAAGTTCCGAAAGGCGTACGTTGAACTGTTGAACCGTTTGAAGAGCACACAATCGTTGATTTCCTCTAAAAGAAGAGAGAAAAAAAGGAAGAAAGAAAAATATAAATAAAAAGAACAAAGATTAGAGAAGAGGGGAAGAATATAAGTCCGAGTGGTTAGCAGTGATCTTTTCTCAGATAAAAAAAAAAGAAAAGAAAGAAGAGAGAGAGAATCTGACAGGTAAACATAATAAAAAGTGGAAATGTGGTAAAGCCGAGGAGCAAACATCGGGAGTAGAAGGAAACGTCGTCCGAATTATTTGGTGGTTCCTTGCCAACGGCGCTATTGGCAAATAAAAACATTTTAGTCTCTCTCTCTCTCTCTCTCTCTCTTTCTTTCTCAACCCCCTTTGAAGGAAGCTCTCAAATGTAACATCTATATACATAAGTCAAGACAGGAATAAATCGAACGGTGAACCCTACTTGATATGAAATCTCTCGATCGGATAAGAAATAAAATAGAAAGAGAAAGAGAAAGAGAGAGAGAGAGAAAAGGGCCCGGAAGCAGAATTCGAGAAGAAGAAAAAACGTTTCTGATTAATAACGCAACACGAAAAAAGATAGAAAGTGAACTACACCTCTATTATTATTATTACTATTATTATTATTATTCACGTTGCAAGGGGGTGGTTTGAACAATAATCCGCGTTAGGAAGGAAAGAACAATTAGAGGCACGTTCTTGCGCAATCGTAAAGTGCTTAATATCAGCCGACGGACAATTTAAACGCCATACCACGAGAATAACCACCACCACCATAACCATCACACTACCATCGGCCACTGTGTGATCTCTCTCCCTAAGAGGAATAGAAATTCCTGGGACACGAGAAACAGAAAGAGAGAAAGGGGGTGACAGAGACCAGTCGAGGGATGGAATTGACCTCGGTTAAACCCAGTGGGTCACTGACGAACGAACGAACCAAGCCCCTTCTTCTCTTTTCCAGCCAAATCCCTAGCACCGGAAAGAGAGAAGGGAGGAGGATGACTAAAGTTCATGGAAACAGCTTCAGCATGTATGGGTGAGAGAGAAAGAGAGAGAGAGAGAGAATAAATCACTTTCGAATTCCATCGAAACGAACACACACACGCACCACCACCATCCCCATAACTAATACTCGCAATATCTAAGGATATTTTTAAATGTTTTCTTTTTTCCAAACGAATTATCGATAAAATAATAGACTCTCTTTTTCTTAGACAAGTTCGACGTGACTTTTCTAATAGATCCTCAATTCGGCCCGAGGATAGGCCCATGATTAAACTCGCGATCCCTGTGTTAAAGCCAATAATCCCATGACACGGGTCTCAAAATCCCAAAGTGAACGAACATGTTACCATCACTACTACTACTACTACTACTACTAGTATTCTCTTTTTCTCTCTCGTGTATGTGTGTAAGAACGTTACACACCATGATGTTTGTTCTCAAGGCTTCATTATCTCTCACAATATTTGTTTAAGATCGTTGTATGAGTTAGTAGTATCACCAGCAAGTGGGTTATTGAAAAAAGAATAGAAAAAACAGGGAATAGTAGTCTTATTCAACTTCTCCTACACCTCAGATTTCTTCTTTTTCATTTATTTGAGAAATATACTCACCTTTGAAAGGTCTCATCCCAAACTCTGTAGAGATCAGCAACGCCGTCTTTCAATGCGGTAAAAATCAAAGACGTTGAAGCACCCAAATCGGTAATCAATCGATGTGCGGAAACATTTAACGCGAGCATAGCAGCTTTCCGTTCCCTTAGTGAAATCAATTCGGCCTGATAAACATAAATACAAAGAAAAATATTATTAATATTACATCGAATAACATAAATTTTGATTGTTGTTGTTGTTCGGTTAGGATCACCTGACGTATTGATAAAGAAGGTGGATTATCAAGATTGAACGGAGAAAGGTTAGGGTGGTTTTGGAGTATAGGGGTAGGGGTAGAAGTAGGACAAGAGAGTAGGGGGTGGTTCTAGGATGATTCTAGCATCCTAAGGGTTGTTTCAGGGTGATAGCGAGATAGACGATGAAGGAAGCATGTCACGTTGTGTCACCCCTGTCCCTTTCCCTTTCCCTATCCCTGTCGTCTTTCTTTCCTTGCTGCAGAAACCGACCGACGGGAGCCGCATAAATAAACTCGAGTTTACGAGGAGGAGGAGGAGGAGGAGGTTGTTGTAGTTGGGGTTAGGTGTTGTAACGGGGAAGGTTTGGAAAATGAGCTGGTGTGTTGCCTTGCAAGAAAACAAAAATGAAAGCTTCGTTCTTCTTCTTCTTCTTCATGCTTCCTTCTTTACATTTCTCTATTTCGAAGAGGAGAGAGGATGAGGATCTCAAGAGTGCTCGTAAAAGCTTCGTGTCCTTGCGGTCATCCTTCGTCTCGACTCAGACGACAAGGTCTTCCTTCCTCTCAAACTCCTATGAGTTTTCGCCTATCTCTAACCAAAGTAATTTCCCTTTAGCAGATTACTATGAGTATTAAAGGGGATCGTTGAACGATAGAGAACGAGATCAATTTGAAAAGAAAAAAAGAAGGAAGGAAGGAACGAAGTGAGGAAGATGATAAGAAAAGTACAAAATGTATAAAAACAAACGAATAAAATAAGAATAGAAGTAGGAGAGAGCTAGTGGTGGTGGTTGGTTGGTGGACACCACGGGGTAAAGAGTAGGCTCGAAAAGTAGACCACATTGATATTCGTGGCGCATCCGAAAGGCAGAAACAGCCGTTGTCTCGCATCGCGTCCCCCTTTCGTAAAATCCTACCACCACCACCACCATAACTACCACCACAACCACTACCACCACAGTAACGTAGCAGCTAGTAGTAGCAGTACCACCATGAACTTACCAAGCCGATCTCTACCCTACGGACGCGCGCATTCCGATCTAATTCAATTTCCAATCAACAGCCAATCAATTGATTCGAATTCAGTATACACGAGAAACGGCCGACTCGCGTTCGACTGCTGCATGTTGAGAAGCTGCTGCTGGTGCTGTTACTGTTACTGTTACTGGCTGCCACTGTTCCACCAGTTTGACTATCTCTTTCTCACTCTTGTCCCTACCCCACCCTCTCTCACTGGGCCCCACCATTTCTGCTGTCTCTTTTCTTTATACTATCTTTTTCCACTCCCTGGGAGAGTCACGTACGCCTTCGAACTCGGGGAATTAGCTTTTTACGCCTCGTAATATCGCGCGAGGTGTTAAGTGGAACGGAGAACCTCTGCTAGTATTTTAATTGGCTGGCACGTGCTATCTTACACGCAATGGAGCAAGGAGTAGTTGGCCTCTCTCTTCTTCTCTTTCTATTTCTTTCTTTCTTTCTTTCTTTCTTTTTCTTTTTAAAACAAGCAGGCATTATCGTTCGTGAAAAGGGACAAGACGAGAGGAATGATCGCTACGAATAAAGGCACGCGATGCTTTGCTCAAAATAACACGAGCAAAGGACAAGGACCGAATAAGTGGCAACAGTCGCCAACTTCAAAGTCAAGTTTGTACGTTCGTACGACGACGAGGCACACACACATGTATGCATGCATATCCGCGTGTTTTACTCGCGTACGTAAATACGTACGTGGTACGGGGAATGCGATTGAATTATTATTACGTAGTATCGTGAAATAATTATCGAATATTCTTTAATCACCTACAAAATTGAAAAATCTTCATAAACTTTCCGTATATGTCAACACTGTAGACTAAATATGCTTATCTATACTTGTTCATTCTTTTTCTACAACATATTTACATCGATTAAAGAGTACTCCCGAATAAGAGGTAAAAAATGAGAAAGAACTTCAAGTCAAGATACTTCTCTTCCTCCTCCTCCTCCTCCTCCTCCTCCCTTTCTCTCTTCCCTATCTTCTTCCTTGGTCTTCGGTGGCCTACCGCACCTCCTGCATAATGCAGCACGGCAACGAGTTCAGCCAGCAAATGTTGGACGCTAATACATCTTGATGATAGATAGGAAGCATGTGTTTGGTCTTCGCAATGAAGCCGAGAGAGGGATGTCGGAGGAGGAGGAGGATATTGTGGAACTGGGTGGTGGTGGTAGAATTTCAAGGGGGGTGGCAATGGGGATGCTGCTTCTGATGATGGTGGTTGTGAGGGTGGTGCTGGCTGGTGGTGTCCGCGACGGTGGCTGCCACCAAGCCAACGTAGACGCGAAACCTTCCCTTCCTGACTTTGGGGTTGGTGCTTGGAGGGTGGAACTCGAGGGAGGGAAGGAGAGGGGGGAGTTTGGCGGAACTCGAACTCGGGGGATGATGCTAGGCAGCTAGCTGCTGTACGTTCTACGTTCGGCGACGTTCACTCGCGAATTCCAATGCCGAGCACGTTCCCGTCAGACGAGCGTACGTGCGACACGACTACGCTTTTACGCTACTCTCTTTCCAACCCTCCTCCTCGCTTGCCACCTGACCGTCCTCCACCTCCTCATCCTCCTCATCCTCCTTCTTCTCATCCGCATCCTCATCCTCCCTTTTTCCTCCTTCTTCTTCTTCTTCTTCTTCTTCTTCTTCTTGCTTTACCATCAAACAGAGTCCACCCTCTTCTTCCTTTCCAACCCCCTTTCCCACACCCCTCAACCCCCCGCCTGCCCCTTTGTCGAAACCCTACGAGAAGACTCCTTCGCTTCTCTACCGACCACCCTTTCTTAACTTTCTTATTGCTTGCCTATCCTTCTCCTCCTATTACTCTCCTCCGTTCCACCCCCCCCCAACCTCCACATTTCTCTTACCACTCTCTTCTTCTCTTCTTCTTCTTCTTCTTACCACACCCCAGCAACCCTCTTCCCCTTTATACACACACGCTCGCACGCAATTGCAATATTCTTGATGGCACGATCTATCCCCCTTTTTTCTTTTCTAATTCCCATTGAACATTCGATAACGAGGGATATACTCGAAAAAAGTATCTAGAAATGGAGATACCCCCTTTTTTCTTTTTTATTTAAGAATTTTTATGAAGTCTACTTAAGTCGTGCGTTTTATAAAATACACGTGACGAATTGTTACGAATGATAGTAAAAGAATTAGGATTGTACGATTAATATTGGGATGTGATTTTAATTAATCGTAATATTTCTAATATCTATAATAATCTACTTTACCGACTCCGCGACGTTAATAATTTACCGACTGATATCTATAGTTACCGACAGGCGTTGATAATTTACCGACTGGTGTCCACAATTACCGACCGAGAATAATCGTCTCTTGTTACCGACGAGTGTCGATAACAAAGAACACTGCGATTATCATTTCAACCGAGGAGGGAAAATATGAATAATCGAAAAAAGAAATTGAAAATAAAATCTCACCGTAATTCGATTAATTTGATCGTCGAGAACGTGAGGTTGTTTCAATACGATCTCGTAAGCCATTAGCCTGTCGTGAGATGCTTTAAATTCCAACAACATAGCTGATAATTCCTTATGAAGTGAACTCGCCATTCGACTTTCCTCCACCCGGGAAGCTAACGATTCCCATCTTTCTATTGCACCTGGAAAAAAAGAAAATAAAAAGAAAATTAAGAAAACAATTCAAATAAGAATTAGAAAAAAAAAAATGATGAAACGGTACAACGTTAGCGGATAGGAAATTGGTGCAACAAAAACAACAGGGGTGTACAATAATAACAGGTACAACCAGTTTGTCCGGAGTTATAATCGGCATTTTAAACTTGTCCTTGTTGACCACCAAGAACAGAAGGGGGACCACCAACCAACCTACTGCCTATTGTCCATGAACAACACATGGGTTTCTACGGTAATCCGACATCCTCGTTATAAACGAGATATTTAAGGTCAAGCTGCTTATATCTACGTATAGTACGTAAGTTAATATATATATATATATGTATATACATAAGATGAATCGCATGTGCGGCTTCCATGACCTCATTTATTTCCTACTTTTCCTTTTTCTAACTATTATATTACTAACAAAAAAAAAAACAATTATTTCAAAACTAAGTTTCATTCTTCTTATCACCGATAATTATCTTTAAACGGACTTGAATTATTTGCTCGACGATACATTTAGTTCCCCCCATTCACCCCCCCTATCCCCACCCATTTAGTCACCAATGAATTTCTATCATCGTTGACTTTTTCTTTTTTTCTTTCATCAAAGATTATTTATTTGTTTTACTCGTACTCCGTTGCTTTGCTTGACTTGCTTGCTTTGCTTACTTTCACCAATACATCTTAAGAAGAAAAGATCGCTAAACGTCGATAAACATATGCGCAAGCAGAGCATCGATAAATCCTCCTCTTCCTCCTCCTTCACCTCCTCCTCCTCCTCCTTCTTCACCTCCTCTTACTCTCTCATACGAGAAATGATATCGTAAACGATCGAGAAAATATATATTTGAATGAGAAAAAGAAATATCATCGTCATTATCCGATCGTATGAAGAAGGTAGAAAAAAAAAAGGTAAGAGAGAGAGAGAGAGAGAGAGAGAGAGAGAGAGAGAGAGGAGAGTACGAAGACTTCTTTAAGAGAAAGTTTTTAACCGTACGGATTATTTCATTTACCATAGAAGAATAACCCGCAAACACACAGCCGTGTATTTCTCGCGGTGTTTATTATAATACTCGGTGTAAAAAATTATATTTTATTGGTGTACGAGAAAACCTAGCAATTATTATTCATTCTCATAAATAATCAAACCTACGATATGGCAAAATATAATCTAAATATTGAGAAAAAATAAAAATTTTTCTAAGAAATGAATCACTCATTCTAATATATTAAACAACTATGAGATAAAAATCCCGTTGTTCTCCTAAATCGACCTAAATCCTATCACTTAGAAAGGGACACAAAGAAACACGAAAGGTATTTTTAAGAAATAAGAAAAAAAAAATAAAGGATCAAATCTTATTATCGTTGGTGTTAGTGGTGTTTTCAAGGATGACGAAATTTCATTCTATAAGAAAGAAAAGAAAAATGTTGAGGTCTAAAAGAAAGGAGGAAGAAACCTGTTCCCGAAAATAGAAATACCTGATTGGTTGACCGTTCACGATTTAAAAAAAAAAAACACTTTATAACCCTCTTCCCACATTATATTAACCGAACGAGATTTTCTATTCGAATAAATAGTAATAAAATGGTATACGTATATACTTGGACGTATGTTGTTGAATGATCTACAATTAAAAATAAACGATAGAAAATAGGTTGTGAACGATAAAGAAAAAAAAAGAAGAAGAAAAAAAAGAAAATAGATCAGTTAATGTGTTATAAGAACATCCGGTAAAGAAAATATATAGATCTATCTATTTTATCTAATGCAATCGTTTCGTTCGTTCGTTCGTTCGTTTGATCGGCACGCAGGATAAAACTAAAGCATTAAAACACACGCGCGACTTATACACAAACGGAAATTCATGGTGAAAAGCCCCGTAGTAATCCCCTCTCTGTCTCTATCTTTCTTTCTTTCTTCTTCTTCTTCTTGTCGCTTATTAACCTGCACTACTCGCAATTAGTCGGAATAAGACCGTGAAACACATCACGAATGAAACAACAACAACAACTACTACTACTGTGAAACTAATCGACAATATTACTATTTACTTACACACATATAAAATAATATAATGATTCTACGAAGATATTATATTTTTTTTTTTCTATCTATATTGTAATCAATAAAATCCTTTCTAATAAAACAAAAAAAGAACCACATTGCCGAGAAAGTTCGTGCCAATTTTTCATGGTATATTTTTATTTATATTCGAATATAAATCAAATATAAATATTTTCCAATCGATTGTGAACTGATGCATTTTTTGTAGAAATTCTTACACAATTGTGATTTGTAAAATGCGAATTAAATGATAGATCCAGTTTAATAACTATTGTTTGTTGCTTTCGTTAATTAAAATCAAATTGTTTTTCGGCACACACAACAACACATTCTCAGTGCCATTACCAATACTATTTACTCGTTACGATATTAAATTCAAATATAAATTCGTGTAAATAATTTGATAACAACAACAAACAAAAAAACTAATTGAATCTTAGAAGAGTCGAGATATTACACACCGAAATAAAATCAAAAGAGAAAGAAAGTGTAAAATGAAAGTTAGAAAAGAAATCAAAATAACGAATAAGAAAAGTAACTCACTGAGAGCTGTTAGAAAAGATGATTGGTGTTAATTTAAAACACATATTTCTTTTGTACAATGTACAAACAAAAATATCAAAATAAATCGAAACGAATGTGCAAATTTAACAAAAAAAAACCTATAAATAATACACGCGTTTCAAAAAATATATACATATAATCGTGAATAAATACAAATTATATCTATGCAAAATAAATTGAATACAGGTGTGTGTGTGTGTACTTAAAACAACAACAACAACAAAAACAACATCAATTGAACACCGTAAGAAAAAAATTATAATATCATATCGTAAAAATAATGAAATGCATTGGGTGCATACAATATACGTAACAACATAATACAATAACGTCATAACTTTTAAATTAAATCATGATCGAATTACAACGTGCTTGTTAATAGCCACAGAAATAAAGAGAGAGAGAGAGAGAGAGAGAGAGAAAAGTAGGAACAGTATGTGATCATCACTGAAATTATCAAGTAAATGCGCAATATCTATGTTCGTATGTGTCCAAAGTTATATATACACATATACACACACCTAATACACATATTCTAAAATTCAGTTTTCAAGTATCATATATATATATATATTATAATATATACAAAATTTCAAAATGCTACGTACGTCGTTGGTTTTCACCTTTTTTCCTGCCGTTATCTTTGACGTCAGATGATTTAACGATCATAGCAATCCCTTCTTTCGCGTTTTTTTTTTTTTATTTTTAATATCACTCGTTATAAATCTTTTTTCAAAACTCTTGTCAAAATGTAAATAATAGAGATATACCACGCGCGTGTATGTTCTTTTTCTTTTCTTTTTTTTTAAATGTTCTTTTACAATCTTCACAATCTTATTTCTTTTTTTATTTCTCGTGCAAGACGATGATCGATTATTCACATGACGTCGTGTTATAGTTTATTATTATTATTATTATTTGGAAATACACTGAAAAATTAGTTGAACACCGAATTTGATTCGTGAAAAATTTGTTTAAACGAATATCACGTTGATATGTTTAATATATATAATTGAATTGAATAGAATTTAATTCTAATAATAATAATATGTATTATAAGAGAAAATATATTTAAGATAAAATCTTTCGTGTGTTAATACGTTGTTACAACTACGAATGTGTTCCAACGCGCGTCTGAGATCGAATGCCATTTCGCGGTTAGGCGAAAATGCTCGAACACTATGTTCGTGTGCTTTCGCTCTTATAAGGTGAGAGACGGGCCCACACCGTTCACACATATATATATATATATATGTTCTTGCACAAATGCGCGCGCGCCCACGTACTCTCCCACACGTACAACTGTTTTAATTGAAAAAAAGAAAAAAACAAGAAAAAAGAAAAAATAAAACAAAACAAAAAATGAAATGCATGCATATATATATATATATATTTATGCATTTCCAATTGATTTATTTCAATGCTTACACTTAACATATAATTTAAATATGTATATATATGTGTATGTGTATATGTGTATATAATAAATCATAGTTAATCGAGAGAATGTGTATAAAAAAAATAATCTGTATCTATTTGAAATAACTTAAAATGGTAAGACAAGTTTTAATCAAGTTTCCATTGTAAAATAAAAAAACTATCTTAATCGCCCGCGCAATATTTTGTTTCATACTACGATAATCTTTAACAAGACTACGTGAATCGTAAAAATCTTGTTTAAATACGAATTGAAAAATCTATATAATTATTTTATTAATAGGTTGATTCCTCCTCTCGTAGAGAAAATAAATAAATAAATGCGTTTGTTTATTAATATAATCATTACAATGCACACAAAGAACATACTTCCAAGTGTAATTAATAAGGGATGATGATGATAATGATGATACAAAGGGGATGTTCGAAAAGGAAAAATAATTATTTAAAAAATTTCATTTGTATGTGTGTGTATGTTAATTCATACTTTTTTCGTCGAGTGTGTATAGAAAACATGCAAGTGTACTTCAATCAAATCGTGCAAAAAAAAAATATACAAAATATACAAAACAAATTCTAAATTAAATGAGGACAAAAAAAATATATTATAATATACAATTATATATATATGGAATAATTGAAATGGTAAAATACTGAAAACAATCGGACCCCCCTAATGCTAGGAGGAAATAAACATGAATAAAATATTACTCAATATAATAATTAATAAAATATTTATAATAACGAACGAATTGATATTTAATTTACGACGTTTAATTAGATTATACTCACCACGAACTTGCTTCGTATATTTTTCAGTCCTGAATGATCCACTAATCGATTCTAGCAACGTGTTCAGGCATCTCAAGTTATCCCTGCACGCACTTTCCACTTCGACCTGCGAACAGGATTAATACTAAATCAATCTAACATGTATATATATATATAATTTCGTTATTATTCTATAAGTAATTTAATTTTGATTTTATTTAAATATAGAACACAAATATACAAGCGTGAACATCCAAATATTTTTGCAATACCATAACATTAAATATTAAAGGGCCTATCAATTTTTCATCTAACAGTTTCAAAATAATTATATTCATTTGAATTTATATAAATATTAATATTATTTATGTAAATGTGTAGGAGAGACAACTAATTACTAAGGTCAATCAATTTTTTGTTTATTTGATCTAATCGTAAATTGATTATTAATAAAATGTTTTTTACCATAATTAAATATTACTTTTTCTTTTTGTATATATTATAATTTTTAATATAAAAAAGAAAATGAATAAAGAAATTTGTTAACTACGACATACGAACAACAACGAAATTAGGACAATGCATCTTATTTATTTTTTGTTTTTTTTATATCACGAACACGTCCATTGAAAAGCATAAAAAGGATTTTATTTGTTTTTTCTTTTTTTTTGTTTTTCATGCAACGTTTAACACATACTAAAAAAAAATGTGATACCGCTTACATAAATTAATTATGTTTCTTCTCGCACATTTTCTGATATATATTAAATTTATATTGAAATTTATTTGATCTTAAAATAATACTGTTGTTTTATTACTGTTGTCTCTTGGCAGGATTAAAAAGCAGACAAATGGTAGGAATGACACAATAGGTGAATACAAACGGTGAAGAATGTCGCTTTTATCTTTCTTATCAATTATTTGCGATACAATGTGTTGATTGTACTAATCTAATTGAGAGAGAAAAAAAGATAATGCTAAGTAACAGTCATCATCATGTCTCTCTTTCTCATCTTTTCTTTTCCATACTAATTAAATTTATACACGAACACTTACAAACGAAGTTTATATAAAAATACGTGTGTTTTAATTATTAAATTATAAAAAAGAAGCACTTATGGCACACACATCATGCTTAGAGCCACACACTCTCGCTGCTAATTAATTATATAATTATAATTTTAACACGAGATACAAATTATAAAATAAAAAAATAAATAAAAAAGCGAACAAAACTATAATTGTTAAAATATATTTTTTCATTCTTCTTCTTCTTCTTCTTCTTCTTCTTTATTCTTCTTTTTCTTCTTCTTCTTCTTCTACATATTCTTTTCTTTTGTCGTACATTTACATAAATGATTAATACTATAAACGTAAAAAACTAAAACTAGGCTCTAGAAAATAGGGTAATAACTTTGCCAGAAATGTTACCCCGTAAATGATTGAACCATGCCCAAAAGCGTAAATAAAAGTATTGCAAAAGCGTGGTGCGTTCATCGGCAATAGGATTAGAAATACGTACACAATCTTGCGGAAGGGTTCCATTAGATCTTACGAAAAGATTTTCGGCTAGGACGCATTGCGATTGTGATTTGTCAAGGACATTTCTAATGTCCTCGATATCGCTGTCACTGTCTTCCGTAGTGTCCGTTGTTACTTCCTGAAAAAGAAAAAAAAAAAGAAAAGAATAAAAACACACCAAATAAAGCAAAATTAAAAAAAAAAAGATATTTTATAATTTAACATATTATAACGTTTTATAACATCGTCATCGTCATCATCATCTTATCGCGAGTGGTTTTGTAATCATCCCACCACTTAACGTCCACGTTGGCAAGATCAAGGTCAACCGTGCCAAAGTGAAAGGAAGAATCTCTATCAGGAAAGTGAAGTTTATTACGAGATAACTAAATTTTTCTGTTTTTTTTTTTTATCTATCAGATAATTTATATACACTTTCTTTCAATAAATTCTTTTAAGGATCAGAATTTATCAATTATGCGAGAAAAAAAAAGATTTTACTTTGAAAACAGAAAAAAGAAAAAACAATTAAGAAACACAACTGTGCGCATTGAGGAGATTAAAGATTTTATTCTTGCACAATAAAATTCAGGATTCGAAATTGTTTGTATGCATTTGTCTCTGTTGTGTTGTGTGTATCCTTTTATTTTTTTTTTTCGTTTACTAATAATAAAATCTATTATTATCGTCGCAATACGATTGGATGATTGAAATGAAATTCGATTTGGAAAAAAGAAAAAAAGAAAAAAGAACAAATGAATTTACAAGAAAAACATGGATACTTGATCGAATATGAAAAATAGAATGGCACGTACATGGCGCATGCGATTTCGGGGCATGACTGCAGAACTACCAGGAAGGGCGCTCATGCTACTGGATGCGCAATCCGATTGGCTGTCGAGGAAATTTCTATAATCATCGCCAAATTCCAACAATCTTCTTGCCGTTTCAACGTCCGGTGCTTCGCTGTACGTTTCGCTCATATACTTTTCCTGCAAATTAATATAAGATCTCATTCATTTATTTTTTCATTTATTTCCAAATACCAAAGGTAAATAATAAAAGTAGGTCTGCCAAAATAAAACTATAAGTATAGTAATTAACCCTTTCGTTACCAGTGACTGATTTATGAAAATGGTGTCCCCATCCATGCACCAAAAAGAAAAAACATCCATATGAACAAGAAGAAGAATTGTACCGCCAATTAATAATCGAAAGGGTTAAATTACAAGAATTAGGATAAAAAAAACAAATAAAATTGTACCTGATAATTATCCCAAGCTTGCTCGGAGAAAGAATTATTACCGAGACTATTCATTTCTATATCGCTGTCTACGTTTGATTGACGATTGCAAAGTTCTTTGCTATTTAGCACGGTGTCTAATAAACTGTCTTCGTAAGTGGAACAACCTTTGATGCAACTACTGCGTTGATCATCTTCCGCGTCATTCGATGCTACGAAGTCACGACAGCAAGGCATTGTGGCAAGTATCAAAGAAGAGGATGGATCACTGCTGCCCACAGCCAACGTCGTTGTTTCTGTATTTAACTGTTGATGAACTGTACATCCTGAGAATGAACCAGATTTGACGAGAGTAGTACTAGTCGAGTGCCCGTAACATTCTCTCGGAACAACTGCAGCACGCAATACGCCATTAACAACACGATTGGCGTTAGTTTTGCGAGGTGATCTTTGTTGATTTAAACTACCATCGCTTCCTGCCGAATGATGATTTCCGCTAACGCATTCGGAACTAGAACCACTTTTCCGACCCTATACAGAAACACAATGGAACGAACGAGCATCGTCATAAAATGGTCGAGTCAAATATTAATTTATAATTGGTGAAAAAAATTAAAAAGACCTTTCGTCAATTCTTACCAAGTGTTTCTTCCTCAATCTACTTTTCTTCCTACGTAAGGAACTATTTCTCGCTGTACGACCATCTTGACAAATGATCGATTCCTCCAACAACGTACAAGTTGAATTATTAAATGACTTAGGCGAACCACTGCAGAATAATATTTAAACATTTGATATTATATCATCTTGTGTACATTTATTAAATGATAATCATTATTTAATTAATACTTACGCGGCATCCAAGGAAATAGATTTGGTTGGAGGCGAGACTACAAGTTGATGCAGTGCTGTCTCAGATTGCGAGATCGAGAATTGTGAGATAGAATCGTTGACCTGATTCAAAGCGGAGCTCGAAGCTATCTGCGATATGCAAGAAACGCTCCAAGGTCTAGAACCGTTGGTTTTCTGTCTGGAACGCATAACAACTTTGGACGTGCTACTACTACCACCGCTATCCAACATCATAACCGGACGATTTTCATTAACCGGTGTTTTATCTAAATCTTCTATTATTTCTTGCGACATTGACTGGGATTGTGCACAGCCTAGAGCACCGCTTTCAAAGCGACGATAGGTCGCGACACTACTCTGAAGATCTTCTGACGAGACTGATTGCCTCTCCCCATCGGATTCCTCTGTCGTGTATTCCCCACTCGCGTCACAGCTATCTAGGGACTATAATAAAACGACATTAATTGGGTAAAAGAAGAGGGGGACGAGCACAACTAGATCACAAGTGTCAAGAAGAAGAAGAAGAAGAGTAAGTGGGAGGAAGAGAAACACGTCATAATAAAAAGAACAGGATGCAACACCTACCTGCAACAATCCACCACCGTTTCTCGCAACATCGTGACCCCTTGTAGACGAGTTCATTCTAAGCCATTCCTTAATACGAGCATATTTGGCACGATGATTCATCGCGGTTCCCTTTTTTTCCTCAAATATTAAAGGTGGAAACGTACGGGGAAAATTAGATTGTCTCTCCTCCCTAACTAATTTTTCAACTTCCTTTATCAGCCTTCCTATGCTCACTTTGTCGCTCTTCGCATCGTCATCGCTATCCTTTTCCGGAGCATCCGTTATCGTTTCTGCTGTTACTATTGCAGAACCCTCCTCCTCCTCCTCTTCTTCCTCTTCCTCCACCTCTTCTTCCTCTTCTTCCTCCTCCTCCTCTTCCTCCTCTTCCTCTTCCTGTTCATCGTGCTCGACATTCTTCATCAGTCTATTACATATTCGTTCTTTATCAACCTCCTCCTCATTCTCTTTGACATCAGCCATCCTCCTCCTCCTATCATCATTCTCAACGAATCTAACATTTTCCGTCACACTGACTCGCGGGGTCTCGTTGAAATCCAATCGAACGACCACGTTGGTCTTCCTTTCTTCGGTAGAAACATAATTATTAGCACGAGATGACGTGTAAGTCCATTCCTCCTCGGAAGAATCATCCACCATGTTTGTGGATTCTTCGTTTGCCTGACAACAATCTACCTCGGAATCCGTGTCCAAATGTTTGAAGTAAAATATGGCGCAATTCTTAGACTTTCTGTCGGACCTACAAATATTACAAACACGTCGTACAATTTTTTGTTAATATTGTAACAAACCAAAAAACACACACACAGATTGAGAAAATAATGAATGAATTTTTAGATTATAAAAATAATCAGTGAATATTATTGTACAAAAAACCACACAAATTGGGGAAAATAATGAATGAATCTTATTGTACAAAAAAAGAACACACACAGAGAGATTGGAAAAATAATAAAATTAATCTTGTTGATTAGGTTTAGAGTAGAATATTTGAAGAAAAAATTAATTTCTTACGTGTTAAACGATGCAGTTTCTTCAACTGGCAATACACTTGTCGACGGAGTCGGTGAACGACGCCTCTTCAAAGTTTCCTTAGACGATACGGATGATTCTTCTTTCGTCTGTTCAACCGTCTGCTGCTGATTTCGTACTATAGTCGTCTTTGACGACGTCATCGGTACGGTATTAGGTGTCGGTGGCATGTCGTCGTCTTTTTCTTCTTCTTCTACGTCAGCCTCTTCACCCTGATCACCCGTTTCTATCGTTAGACTAGTATTAATGTGCGATGATATTCTATTAGAACAATTTTCAGCTTCCTCGTATCTAGCATCCATCACACAGAATTGACATAATTCGTCCTGCAACAATAAAAAAGAACAAAATCTTTATTCAAACATCTCAACAACAAGAACAACAATAAAAAATATGCATTGATCCAGAATCGAACTTCTACGTTAAATTGCAAAGTTTCTCACTCGAGGTCATTGAACCCTCTCTCTCTCTCTCTCTCTCTCTCTCTCTTTCGTGAGATTCTTTCGCAAGCCGATCTTTCGTCTCTCTTGTGAAACGTTACATTAACTTTGCAAACGTGGAAGAGAGAAATGAAAGGAATTTGATAAACGAACCAAAAAATAATTATATAAAAAAGCGTAGCAGAAAAAAACGAGAAAGGGGAAAGGGAAGAGAAAAAGATATATATATATATATATATAAAAAAAGCAAACAAAAAAAATAAATCTAGACTTTCGCCAGGTAATGCGAGATTTTGTAAAAGGTCCCGAAGCCAAACAAGAACGAAGAGTAGTAGTGTCGTTGCTGGCAGCCAGGTAGAAATCCAATGATGCACGTGCGCGTCCAATTTCTTAACGCACGTTTCTTTCTTTTTTCCCCCCTTCCCCTCCCCTCTCTCTCTCACTATTTCACCCCGTTTTCCTGCTCAATGAATAGGAGGAGCGCCGCAGAATTAAGCAGAAAAATTCTTGAAAATCAAAGTTTCAAGAATGAATAGAAAAAAAAAAGAAAAGACAAGACAAGACCAGCTGTTCGAATGCAATAATAAAATCCGCGAATTAATTAGCAAACAATTGCCTCTTAATCTTCTTTTTTACACTTACACTGTTGAAACGACCGAATTTCGCGTTAAACAACAACACTCGAAAAACATTATCGAGCAATGAGGAAAAGTAAAAGTAGAAGAAACAACGGGGGGTGGGTGGTGGGTGGTATGTTGGATAAAGGAAGAAGAGAAGAGTGAAATTATTGGTCAAGGAACAGCAACACGGGACCTCGAATGAAACAACGACGACGACGACGACGAAGTGTGCAGCACACCGTGATGACTGAGAAATATTCGTGCTGGCATAGCATCAAACTGTGTTTCGTTCCTTCCACCTCAACTGAGAGAATTCCCCTACTCCTCCTACCTTCCTACATTTTCCTACCTTCACCCCCACTACAATCCTTTCGCCCTCTCCCCTGTCCCTGGGCCCCTCTTCACTCCCAGGCCCAACTCTTTGCTTCCCCTTCCTCTACCCCTACCCCTGCAACGGTAAGACAACAGTCTGCACACTAATCCCCCAACTCTTTGCCGATAATTACTGACTCGAAAGAAAATCGGCGTCATAATTACAAACGCGTAGAGATAGATAGATAGATATATACTTGTTAATTATCTGCAACGTTTTCTAACGATTTCAAACCGAAAATAGGTTAAAACACGAGCCGATAGATTACAATCGAATGAGATAATTAAAACAAGATAGAAATGGAAGTCAGGATAGATGCATGATGATTTTGTAGAAAATATTTATAATTCGAAAATAGAAAAAAGAAACTACCAATAATCATTAGATCACAAATTGATAAATAAAGTACAAACCTCAACGAGGAATGGAGAAAGGTTGGAAAATATTTTAAGCCGGATGCAAAAGGGATAGAGGTTTTAAGAAGAGTTATAAAGAAAATAAAGGAAGCAGAGAAGAAGAAAGAAGAGAAAATTGTATATAAAAGTGTAAAAAAGGAAATAAAATTTAGTTTTATTTTCAGTCTTGTTTTAAAATTTCAATGTATTAAGATAGTATATATATATATATATATAATAATTGTTTGTTTGAATTTTGGAATTTCTGAATTTTTGTAAAAAGTAAAAATGTATCGAAAACCCTCCAAAACCCGAGTATAAATAAATAAAATAAATAATAAATACAAACCTCGAAATAAGATCCTTCTTCATCGATTGATCGATTCTCAGATGAAGCATCGCTGTCTGAAAAATCGTTTCTCGAACTGTTCGTACCGTTCGAATCTTTCCGTACTCGAGACCTAAGACGCTTTGTTTGCTTCGAACGAAGATACTTGGCAATAGTAGTAGTAGTAGTATTCGTATTCGTATTAGTATTAGTAGTAGTAGTATTGCTGTTAGTGTTCGTAGTTGTCGGTGTAGTAGTAGTAGTAGTAGAGGTAGGAGATTCTCTTCCGGAGCCACAAGATTGTCTGCTACGACTCAACCGAGGTTGTTTCGTGACCGGCTCCTCATCGCTCTCGCTACTGCATTGGCAAGAAACACCACTCTGAAAAATATACGAAGGATATGTGATGCACATACATAGACATGTAATATTATACACTAATATATATTCCAAAACCTATACAGGGTGTACAATTTCAATTAATTATTTCCAATTATCTAAAATCAATAAAAAAATGTATTTATCACCATCACCATCATACCGGTTTTTGATTTATAATGAAATTTCTTTTATTATATTCTTCAGAGATTGGTCGGGATTATTTTTTTGTATTCTTTAAACTTTAAACTAGTAGCTATCAATATGTTATCTTATGTGTGTGTGTGTGTAATTCAAATGGAAACAAGACACCCTGATAATGTACACGTTAACCTACCTAACATGCAGGAATTATCAAAACAGACTACTTTTATCGTCTGATAAAATCGTCACTATGGAAACGATAATAGTCACGGATTTTCCCATGTTTTCTCAACGCGTTTTACCTAACCAACATATAAATTCCCCTTCGAGTTGATAAAGGAAAAAGTAACCGAAAAATGTAAGAAAAGAAAAGAAAAGAAAAGCTTAGAAAAAGGTCAAACTAATTCAAGAAGTAAGGTATGTTAAGTTTGCGAGTATAACGGGGCCCCTCCTTCATCTTTCTCTATATTCCATCTTTTTAAATATTGTTCGTAAGGAATTCTTACCTGGACTTCTTGTAAGAAGAAATCTCTACGAACTCCACTCGATTGCATTCATAGTTTATATCTTGGTATTTTAACGTTAAACCTATACAATACACGCGTATATTATATTCGAATATATCGAATGGGATCTGTCTGCCATTTTTGTAATTCTACACAATCGACGATTCGTTAAATATTTTTTTAATCTAATTTTTATTACAATTATTATAATTTATTGTACGGGACAAATTTTGTATAATTTATTATTAACACCAATTCATCATTTTCTAACATTCGATCGTAACAAAAATAAACAAAAAACTGCCTAACTCGAATTAAAAAAAGATCTAATCAATTAAATCAAAGTTATACGTGTATACCGTAAAACTATTTGAACGGTGGTTATTAGAGGTTCGGTGTTACAACAACTCGTGCACCGTTAGAACGATATGAGAAAAAAAATTGGTGAAGAATATTTTTTTCTTTTTTTTTTCTTTTTGAAATGAATTCAACAAAGATCGGTCGTACGAAGGAAGGAAGGCTTCGAGAACAAATCCGATCTTTTTTCCAAGGTGGGTACTGATCGAGAACAAGGTATAATAAGATAGAGGTAAAGGTAACAGAAAGAGAGAGACACACACACATACATACATACATACACACAGAGGAAATTTTTCTAACTGGGTATCCTGTGGAACAGGATAACTCATTGCATAAAAGCTATCTATCTATCTCTCTCTCACTCTCTTCCCCGTAAGAAACAAAAGCCGTGCAGCAACAGCAGCTCGGAAGTCATGCATCGATACACTCAAGTGCCAAACGACAAGTACTCACACATACGTAACACGACGTTTGATGATCTTGATCGACCTTTTTTTTTCTCATTTTAATATTTTTTAATGAACAAATCTGATCAACTAAACTTTAGAATGATGATTATATTCCTAGTCAAATAAAATGAAGAAAAAGGATTCCAAGAAGTAAGAAATTCAGGATAATACTTTCCTACATGAATAACTAACTCTAATCATCTTTAAGTTTGTATTCTCATCGTTACCGTAATTATCTTTGAGAAAGGTAACAAACAGTGGTAACAGAGTAACACATCAGCAACAACCAGCAGGAGCACTAAACAGCAGCAGCAACAACATCCAATGAAAAGTCTGAATTTAGGACATCTTCGATGCTGAATAAGCTGATCTCGCGTGAAAGTTTTCGATGATTTATTGTGTCTTTCGTATGAAGAGATAAAAGCTAGCTAGCTAGCTAGCTAAGCTAAGCTAGACTGTTAGCTAGCATCCATAAATATACAACACATGGGCATGGATAAGTGTTGGTTATATCTCAAAGTGAAACTTATTAGTCATCGAGGGCAGGAATATTATATCGATTGGTACAGAAATTCTAATGATTTAGTTGTTGTTCCTTGGACTTGAATATTAATGATTTGATTTGATTTGATTTTGTGTGATTTGATTTGATTAAGTTGCTTACCTTGTTGCTGGCTCGGGATACCAAAGTTTCTATATGACACTGCCATTCGAGTGCTCGTAAAAAAAGAAGATGCCAGCGACGCTCGAGCGATCTTGCAATTCTCAATGACTGGGATGACTGTTGTTGTTTTTGTTGTTTGAAAACTATCTCGCTCAATTTCACGACAGAAGATACGATACGCCCGTGTGCCTCTATGTCTCGTTGAAGTATCTGAAAATAAACGATTCATTTTCAAACATTGAGAAAAAAATCAGTACGAAATAATAATAATCCTGGGATAACTAGAAATGATACTTTCAGAAAAAAAAAAAGGGAAAGAGAGACATAAGATAAAAAAAGAGAAGAAGATCCCATAGATCTTTGATTGGACACTGTGTGACTTTAAAAAATACAGAAAAAAAAAATTACTACTTGACATGTGACCCCTTCTCCTTTTCCTTCTCCTTTACCATTAACCGTTAAATTATACCCAACGAAGCTGCAGTCAATCCTCAGTTTCTTTCTCACGGTTGCTATTTCGATTTCAACGTATGCCGCTGTACCGTCGTTTCAAAATAATTAGGACGAAATACATGTATGAGTGAGTGAGTGAATGAATGTATGTGTGTGTGAGTTGATAATTAAAAAATATGCATGAATAGTATCATTGTTCTTTAGAATCAAAATTGGGATGATAATTTGTATTAATTATTTTGATCTCATATTGGGTATGCTGATTTTTTTTAATTGAATTTAATTAACAGATATATATTGTTAAAGGAAAATAATAATAATAATAATATCGTGGTATCGTTGATCGAATATTATAAAATTGTGAAACAGAAAAAAAAGAAAAAAAGGGCTATGTTTAAAAGCATTGAGTCACTTCCTAGAGTCTTAAATCCATCAACGTTGTTTAGGTTAAACCGATAAGTTTGAAATAGCCTGATAAATTACAATAGTTATTTTAAGGATCACGAATGTTATGTCTTGCGGTTTGACGAACGAGTTCAATACCATTATTTGTAATGGGTGTAAAACGAAAGTATATATTCGTGAAGGCAAGAAAATTCGTCATTTAAAAAATACAAAAATAAAATAAAAATACACACGTGATTATCGAAATCAAAAACAAAATCCAAATTTTTCGGTAATATAATAATATGTCAACAAATGTAAACGTGGTTCGACGAATCCCTATTTTCTCTTTATATTTCTTATTAAAAAAAAAAAAAAAAAAAAA